GGGCGGCTGTGGTTAGGAGAGGCCAGGGCTGCCCTGAGCTGGGTGTAACCAGTTCTAGCCGGTTCCAGCGAATCCACCCCAGGGCACAGCTGAGCCCCTCAGCCACACTGGTGGTGCCTCTGGGAAAACATATTGAAGAAGAGGCAAAATGCTGCACGTGCAGCAAGGACTGAGGGGAAAAAGTGTGAGAGACAACCTTGTGAAGACCAAGGTCAGAGAAGAAGGAGGGGAGGAGGTGCCGCAGCAGAGATTCCGCTGTAGCCTGTTGAGGAGACCAGGGGAGCAGGTATTTCCCTGCAGCCTGTGGAGAGGACCATGCCAGAGCAGATGTCTGCACTGCAGCCTGTGGAGGACACCACACTGGAGCAGGTGGATATTCCCAGAAGGAACTATGGCCCACGTGGGAGCAGGGAAAAAATGTGAGGAGAAAGGAGCAGCAGATAGGAACTGATATGGACTGACCCCAGCCTCCCATTCCCCAACCCCTCTGTGCTGCTGGGGACGAGGGGAGGAGGTAGAAGAGTCAGGAGTGAAGGAGTAAAGTTGAGCCTAGGAAAAAGGAGGCAGGAGGGGAGGTGTTTTAGTGTTTATTTCTTACCGTCTAAATCTATTTTGATTGGCAATAAATTAATTTTTCCCAAGTCAAGTCTATTTTGCCTGTGAAAGTAGTTGGTAAGTGATCTCCCTGTCTTCATTTTGTCCTGTGAGCTTTTTCATCCTATTTTCTCTCCCTGTCTTGTTGAGGAGGGGGAATGAGAGAGTGGCTGGGTGGGGGTCTGGCAGGTCAACTCACCACATGGTCCTACAAAATCAGTGCGGGAAAGGCTGATCTACCATTTGAGATCACCAATATTTACCAGATAGAAGAGATCCAAAATGAAATCCGGAGGCTTCACTGTATAGAGAATTCAGTATTCTACTGGTACTGAGTATTTCTACGCATTTTTAACATGCTTAAGTATACGAGGTCTGTCTAGGATGCAGTTAATTTTCTTCGTAGCAGCTCATATGGTGCTATGTTTTGGATTTGTGGCTAAGGCATTGATAACACACCAGTGTTTTATCTGTTGCTGAACAGTGCTTGCACAGTGTCAAGGCCTTTTCTTCCAACCACTCTGACCCCCCTCCCTGCCCCAAGCAAGTACACTGGGGATGCTCAAGAAGCTGAGAGAGGACGCAACTGAGACAGCTGACCCCAACTGACCAGAGGGATATCCATGCTATATAGAATAGAATAGAATAGAATAGAATCATTATGGTTGGAAGAGACCTCAAAGATCATCAAGTCCAACCGTATACCTGATGCCACCCTGTCCACTAAACCATGTCTTGAAGTACCACATCTAAACGTTTTTTGACATTGTGCTCAGCAATAAAAGCTGAGGGAAAGGGGGAGGAAGAGGGGACATTCAGAGCTATGGTGTTTGTCTTCCCAAGTAACTGCTGTGCATGTTGAGGCTTTGCTTTCCAGGAAGTGGCTAAACATCTGCCTGCTGATGGGAAGTAGTGAATCAATTCCTTATTTTGCTTTGCTTGCGCCCAAGCTTTGCTTCATCTATTAAACTGTCGCTACCTCTGCCCACAAGTTTTCTTGCTTTTTGGTCTTCTGATTCTTTCTCCTATCCCGCTCGGGGGGGAGTGAGCGAGCGACTGGGTGTGGACTTAGCTGTCAGCCAGCGCCAAGTCACCACGTGAAGTATTTTGTTGGACGACTGCCAGACTGTGCCTCGTTTTACAGGATCACAAGCTACTGATGTTTAATTCTGCTCCTAGCATGAACAGAGGTAGCACCCTTCTCTTCGTAATGCACAGAGCTGGGAAACCCAAAGCAGAGCTTTCTGTTTAGGAGTTACGCAGGTACAGGAGAGTTTAGCTTTGTTCTGCCATTTTCATTGCTGTTCAAGCATCAGCATTCTGTTCATGTATTTCAAATGGTTAAAGCTATGGTAACATCTGGTTTTCCTACAGGATCCCATCTGTATTCAGTGCCCAAAATAGGTGCACAAAAGGAGGACATTGATGTTCATCATGCAATAGCATATGTAATATTTTCTGAGTTTCAGATGCATAACTTGGCAATATAAATAGTATTTTAATATGATTTTTTAAGTAACACATGTACCATGAAAAAGAAGGCATGTTTTATTTTCAATATTTACTTCATAGATAAATATTCATAGATACATTCACATACCATGTATTTAAGAAGTTTACTTCAATATGAAACAAATAACAGGGACACTGAGTGGCTCCATCCACTCCTTAGTGATGTGAAACCTAGACCCTGACATCAGGTAAATGAGTTTGCTACCTTAGTTCAGACTAAGGCTGTATCAACTGGTAAAATCGCCCAGCAGGAAATAGCAGAAAAAATGTTTAAATCACATGTTAATTTGTAAACTGTTTCAGTTATTTTACTTAAATAAGAAACCCACCAAAATGTAGTTCACTTTGTTTTAAGTCACATCTTGTGCTTTAATAAACTAAAAACAGATGTGCACAAAACGTGATCATTATTTTATCTCCAGAGCTGTTTTATACAGGCAACATTTTACCTCAGTTAAGAGGATGTTGCATTAATGTTAAGTATGAGAAGTCAGGTGCATTCTATGCACATTTTCTAGCATGTTAATATTTCTCAAATACATCAGTAATGCTATTTTAATTTGAATACCTATTTTTAGTATCTTTTTATTTTTCTCTATATAATTCTTCAGGGTAGCTCTCATCACATTAATCCTCATAATGGTGGAAGAGATAGTAGCTAGAGGCTTTCACAACAGTTCCTGAGTCTTCAGCTTCTCAGCCTTCTGGTCTTCATGAAGATCTATTTGAATTCCTATGTTATATTTTTGTACTACTTGCATATCATTGCCATCAAATTTGGAATCAGAAAATGTGCTTTGCTGTGGTGTTACAGAGGCTGCTGCATCTTGTGCGGGACCTTGATCTTGCTTGTTTGATTTTTGTAATGACGTTTCAGCTGGACTTAATTCCTGTGAATCCTCTGTGTGCCAAGGCAGTGTTTCGACTAACTGTTTTGCCTTGTGCACAGCACCACTCATGTTTTCTTCCACTGAGATTCCACATACCACTTTAATTTCCACCAGGTCTTTGTTGGTCACAGGTAAAAGCTGTTTTTCAAATGTCCAGAGTGCTATTCTGACATGCCTCTTCTCAGTGTCATCTCTATGGACAGTTTCATTCTCCAGTCTTTGACCAAAGTTCTCTCTGGTAACAGACAGTGGCTGAGGTTCAAAATATTTTATGTTTCTCTTGACACTTCCTTTAAGCTGTTCTAGCTCAGACCTCAGCTGCAACAAGTTAAGGACATCCACCATGTTGAGTTGCCAAAGTTTATCCAGGTTCTGTGCTTCCAGCATGTGCCTCAAAGTCTTTATAGTACCACCAGAAACTTCTCGGATGCAAGTTTTATCTGATGTTTGTTCCTCATCATGATAATTTTTATTAGTAGAGTCCAGTGGCTGCATTTCAAACATCCACATGACTGTGCGAACGCCTCCTCTAACTAATGCAAGAGCCTTCTCCATAGTCCCTGTAGAGCCTGGGGCACGTGCACGCAGTGCATCAAGAGCCTGGGTCTGAAACATCCAGGGTGGGTATTTAACATTTCCACCTGCAATGGTTTCCTGGTCTGCAATGCTTCTAGCTTTGTGTGGTCTGGAGCGTCATTTTTAATTGGAATGAAAGGCTGGTTCTCAAAGACCCATCATATAGAGAGGACCTCTCCTCTCTGGATTTGATGCCACTCTAAGCATTGTTTTTCTGGTTTTGTGAACATCTGAATGATGAAGGGAAAGCCATATCTAGCATGCTGCATATCTGACATCATATTCCATGTTTCAGATTCACCAGATAAAATATTTGAAGTCTCATTCAGGTAATGTTTCTGTAAGTGTTTTCTTAATTGTGGGTGGAAACATTTGTATAAATGTCTTAGTTCACGTAAATTGCTTTGCTTGAGTACAGATCTGTTGAGATAGTGGGCTTTGTTGGAGAGCTGGATGACTTAGTGGACTGGGAAGTTGCTGTCATTTCCAATGGAGCTTTCACATAAGTAGGGAAGAATTTTTCTGTACTTCCATATTCATGGGATCTGGAGCAAATCATTGCAGAAGTAGCAGTTCCGTCTTGTTTCTTCCTTGGTGTAGAAGTTTCCTGTAGTCTGCTTGCTGAAGTAGTAGCAGTAGAAGATGAACTAACTGTTGAAGGCAATATAATTCCCTGGTACGTATTTTCCATCTTTAGGGAACAAAAGTTGTTGGTTGTTTTTTTTTTTTTTAAAGTATGGTAACATATAAAACAATTTTTCTGTTCTTCACAAAAGCTAGTTCTGCAAAGATCCAAGCTATAGGGTTATAATAAGATCTGGAAAGACAATCCATCAGCTCAGAATGCATAAAACCAAACTTTTGAACTAAGAGCTGTGATATTTGCACCGTAGAATATATGTGAAAATAAATGTGGAATTCATACAAAATGCAAAATGATGATTGAGCAGTCTGAGAGTTTTTGCTGCAACAAATGCAGACTTGGCATTATAAGCATAATGTAAAATTATGCTGTGGCTTACGCTCGTTTTCATTTCTTCTGAAAGTGACATTTTCTATGCTTCTGAGAATCTGTGGTGATAGAAATTATACATATTGACAGATTCAAAACAAGGAAAGAGGAGACTGTATTCAGCAGAGGACAGGAATGAGAAAGTTTTTATACAGGTCTACTTTTAATTGTGTTTGTCACATACTGTAAGTACTTGTTGAGCCTTCTAACGTACTTCATATTTCTTTATGTGCATTTAATTCCTAAAATCCATATATTCCTACCACTTTCATAGGTTACATTTTTAATCACAGTTAGTCAAAATAGAAATTCAGACTGCATGATGGACCAATGTCTTAACGTCACCACTTCTAATTTGCATAAAGAAAGATCCCTCTTATTAAAAGCACAGACCTTTACTTCTTTTGCAGATGTTGCAGTGTCTCTGTCAGAGTGAACAGCCTTTTCTTGAGCTGTCCTTTCAATCTGCTGGTTTAAAATCTGTGTTACAGTCTTTGGGAGCTCTTCGTTCTGAGCTGCATTGATTACTGCAACAGGAAGAAAAATAAAAAAGATCGTTTTTCCTCCATCCTGCATTTTATGAAATTGACTTTATCAGTGAATTATAAAACATTATTACATTAGAAAAACTGTACTTAGCCTTGCAGAAGTCTAGAGAGTCACTTGATCATGAACAGAAGTCCATAGAGAGAACGACAGAATAGTTATTGAGGGACATGTTGTCTCCTACTGTTTTGCCATACCTGTGTGGTGTGGCAGGGCTAAAGGTTGAGTGGGGTCTGTGGCAGAATATAATATGTGAATTCTAATACCAGGACTAAACTGTAGCAGCAGCAGTGTCTTAACACTGTCGTTACATTCTGCAGGGCCATTCAGTTCAGCTATAATTGAACCTTTCTCATCCACAATTTTGTATATACATGGGCTAGTGTTTGCCTGCGTTTTCGGACAGTTCAAGTCCCCAGTTCTTTCAAGCAACTGAGCGCATATTTAAAACTACCTCCTTATGCAAACACCATCTCTCTGTACCGAATTCTAAACTTGTTTCGTAAGTCCCATTGAAGTCAATGAATGTACTTTGCTGAGAATTCGGAGGAACGTGCGTTTTCATGTTTGTATGCTAAGAGCAATCAATTTGTGCGAGTAAAGACATTTGCCATTGCTCATTTGTGAGCCTTTATTCTCATGCCACTTCTTACCTGTTTCATCAGTATGCTGACTGAATGTAGGAGCCATGTTTATCTCATGAGTAACTTGCTTGCGATGAGAAACCTGTGCACAAAACCTTCACTTTACTACAGGATTTAGTGCAATATGTAAGAATTTTCCATACTTCTGCAACTGTATTTAAAATGTTACATCAAAGAAAAATATGAATGGCAACGTAATTAATTACCATGTTAAAACAATAATAAATTAAAAACACTCAATAAAACACCTTTAAAAAATTATTCTGCACTGCCTAATGAGGGAGGCTATCAGCAGGACATCCAGATCTTGCTGTTCCAAGTGGTAAAGGAGGAAGAAGCAAAGCAGATATGTATCACCATCAGTATAATTGTCCAATGACATGATTATTAATTGATATAGTTACCTCTTGTGTTTGAGAGGCTTCCATTTGACTTTCTCTGGAGGTTATTTCATTACATTTAGCCTCTCTGGTGCTGTTTGATACTGTGTGCTGACTGCTACTTGACATTTCCTAAAGACAAGTAAAAATAATCACACATGGACAGCTAACAGTAAATTGCATTTTTCTTTCTTTTTTTTTTTTTTTTTTCCCCTATGAAGGGCTTTTACAAATAAATTCTAATGTAACTGGTGTAACTAGAACAGTCATTTTACAGCAGACTACTGTTGTTATTAGGATTGTTATTTGTTGCCATAAAAATTGGAACAGAATTTTTTATAACACAGAAGATGTCAAGTCATTTCTATTACTGCAGCCAGACCTTGACCAGCAGATACAGAAAGCTGCATGAATATGTATAAAGTATAATTAGACTGGGAGGGGATGAAGGTGACTAGCAAGACTGGTTCTGGCTTTATATGCTGTGCCATCAATTTGTTATCTATCAGCAGGCATGAGGCTAATGCAACTTTGTAAAAGGAAGTATAATATGTCTATATAAGGGATGCTGATTTCCTGGATATGCTTTATGCAACTTTTCTGATGCAAAAATCATACTGAATTGCAGTTATGAAAAATAAGACCCATACGCTAAACAGAAGATCCTACAAAATATGCAGGCTAGCATTGTATCTACAAGTGTGACAACTGTAGCGTAATAAACAGAGCATATCGCTGCAAGTTTAAAGCACTGTCTGAGATGTCCATGTAAACTAATTTCTGAGGTTATCTATCTTTAGTTCGACTCCAGATTCTGGCAGTGATTTGTTTCCTTACATAAAGCCTGTCACAGAACCTGTGTTAGATGACATTACCTGTGTCTGTGGAGTACTTTGAGATTTAGTGATTAGAAGAAATAAATCCTAAATTATTAAGATAGCAGTTCTGTGCTTCCTCTCTTGCACACTAGTGTGCACACAGAGACATCTAACAAATAATTTCACTCATGTCAAATTAAATTTTCTTCCTCCCTTGTGAGAAGGAAGCTTGCCTATTAGTTTCTACTGATAATAAGCTTTCAAATGAAAGGAGCTTCTGATCCCTCCAGCAAGAGTTTCCCAAGTGTTCAGTGTAATGTGAATGTGAACCGACATAGCACTGTGTTTCTGAGATTGCTGCTATACATCTGGAGCAAGAGAGGGCTGTAAGCTTCCTGCATCTCAAATCCCAGCACCTCCTTGAAATCCAACTAATTGTGGGGCAAGAAATTAGCTCTCTCCCTTAGTCATCCCATGACAAAGCATATATTTATGGGATTTATTCCACCTTCAAACTAAGGAATGCTTACACTATTTGCATCTCCAGTAACATTTCTGCTGAATTAGTATAGGGGAGCATCCACTCTTGGCTCATAATTTCTGCCATACAGTAGGCGGCAAGGGCTCTTAGGTTCTATGGCAGAGAAACAATGTGCATCCCCTTCACAGGCTTTAGGAATTCTCTTCCACCTCTGTGCTGCCAAATCATGTTTGAACTGTAAGATGAATTAAAATTATACAAACAAAAGGTAGAATAAATTTTCTGATTACTGGCCCAGGAAATGATTTAGTGTGTTACCAGTATCAAAATTAATCCTATCTACTGCAAAGTTTGAACTGTGAAAGTGAGGTGAGGCTTGAGGAGAGCAAGTCAGAGCATGGTTCTCACAAGTTCTGTATGTGCAACAGTTGTGAGGGAGCCGCACAACATGAGGAGACATAGAGTAACCCCATACCAAGTTGAAAAGAGGCAGTTCAAAGAAAATGAAGTGCAAATTTTTCCATCTATTCTCTGTTTAACGACTATGTGTAGGTGTATGTATAATATGCCTTTTCATTTTATATGGATATACTTTTCAATATATTTATGCATTTATATGCTTTTTTTCATTTAAGATACGCTTTTCTGTTCTAATGTGCATGTTTTAGGTAAGTCAAACTCTCATTACTGGAAATGCTCATTCATGAGACACGAAATATGTTCATGATCGTCATTATGTGTCCTTTGAATGGTGTGGGGTATTAAAAAGGAATATAATTAGGCTTAATGTAGTCAGGAAGCAAATCTAATCTGAATGTCACCACTGCTTTATTGCTGTAACTTTGGTACTGCTTATGAAGTAGTTGCCATATTGCAAAATATTATAATCGTTTAATGTGACAGCTATGGCTGTCTAAAATGCAGACTAAACATTATGGGCGAGATTTTGACAATATAATTACATGGCCTTGCTCTGGGCATGCAGGGAGAAAGAGGGACTTGGAGGTTCTCATATTTTGTGTGTCTGTCAAGATGGCTAATTGAAATTCCAGTGACAGAGGGTAAAATGCTGCTTGTTTATTGTTCCAAACAAGTGGAGAGCAGGAAGACCTGTGGTTTCATCCCTCCTCTGTAATAGCCAACTGTTAGATATAGGATAGGATATCCTGTAGGTAGGATTGATTTAGTCTACCCCATTAGAGTCTGTGGCATGTTTTGTAGACCCCATAGATTTTGGAGAACATTCTGTGGAATTATTTGATGGTCTGCATGGGATAAGGTTGCTCTTACCTTATTAAGCAGGATAAGTCATGCCTCCAATGTATGACTGTGGCTGAAGATTATGATCTAGATTTAATACTAGTTAAGCGTTATGCTTGTGGGAACTTGATCCCTTTATTTGTTTCTGTGGAATACATGCTGTATGATGTGTTATTAAACCAAGCAAGGTTATTTAATCAACCAGATTTCGCATCACAGTGTCAGGAGGAAACAGCTCCCCTCTGGCTGCGCAGGGGAGGAGGACACACAGAGAACTCAAAAGTCGTTTTTGGTGGCAGGAGTGAAAAGACAACTGTTACGATTGCTTTTCCCATGGCCCAAGAATGACCTTTCAGTTCCTTTTTGTTTATTCTATGCCATATCAGAAAACCCTGTCAGCTGGATGATTGTTGGCATGCTGCTGGCTCACGCACTGTTTCTTATGGTCGTTTTACTTTTATTTCAGACTTCCGTCACCCTCCATTCTCTTCCATTTTTTTCAAGTCGCCCTTTATGGGGGTTTCTGGTCTTCCCACGCATAACTGTATGGTGCTTAATACAGAGGGCTATAGTGTCCTGCTGTGTCTCTGGATAATAAGTCATTCTAACCTAAACCGATATTATTTAAAAAATAAAGATGTAAATCTGAGAATGTCTGTATACATTTTGTGAGGACTGCATTTTTATGTAGGCATTCAGATTCTGTTACTGTAGAGAACTGTAATTGCTACACACATTTTATATGTTAGTGGCCCATACATCAATTTTAGTGCCTCTGCACTGCAATAATTTAGACAGAATTCTTATGGCAAAATGTGCCAAGATTTGAATTTTCGGTAACTGTTTTGTGTATTTTAGACCAAGGTTTGCTTTTTTGTGTTGACATTTTTGCAGTTTCCTTCTGTTCTGACAACAGACAAAACATACTTTCCCTTTCAAAAATAAAATTGCTTTTAGGCTCAGAATATGTATGCTATGTTTTATGCATATGTACATAGAACTTGTATACAATTCTAAAATATGTATGTATTGTTCAAGGAGGTCAAATGGCCCAAAAGCTTGTCCAAGCACAAGAAAGCCTTTTACTCGCTCATGTTTGAAGCATATTTCTTTTAGTTGAACTGTACATTATGGTCATCATATAACCTCTGTGGGAAGTTGGCTAATACAGTATCGTTTATGTACTGGCAGATTTAGAACTTACTGTTCTAAATGATCGGTATGTACAAACTTGCAGTTCCCTCTAGGCAGCAGTGGAAGTAAATTGTGAGCCTAAAGCTTCAGTTACAAAATTAGTAACAATAGAATGACTGATGATTTATTTGGCATGGATCTTCATTTCTCCCTCAAAGCTATGCTTTTTTACCTACTTATGTTCTTATCATGGTGTCATCTGCGCACCAGTACTGTGAGAGTCTCAGAGAAAATTCTTATAAGAACTTTACTTACCTGCACTTCATCTCTATGATTTGTCAGCCTTGCTTAGTCATATGTATATACTTAGGGTGTTTTGGGCATTATATGGAAGGTTTTCTTAAAAAGGTAAGGTTTTCACCGTTCACTAACATTGTCCCATTATTGAATCACTAGAAAACTGGCAATTGCTACACTGGCAATCTTAGACAATTTGTATGGAATGACCCTCAATAAAGGAGGTGTAGCTATACCTGTGTCATTCCTGACACATGATACTATATGGTTGAGTGAATATCAGATACTTTCAATATATTCCACTCATCCTTCTTATGTAGGAGGTTCAGCTCACTTGCCAGAAGTGGCTTGTTTCTGATGCTGGATAGTGAGACTTTGAGCAGCTAGCCAGCCAAGCTGGTGTAGCAAACCGCTCCAGGCCAGCATTTACAGAACAGTAACACTGAAGCTCATGACCTCAGCTTTGTGGCTGACAATGAAAGGTGCTCATGACACCAGTGGTCAAATTAAAGACCAGGTCTCTGCACAAACTCTGGTTGAGATTGTGAACACGCGGCAATTCTGTGATCAGTTTTCATGGCTGCTCACCATTCTGGACAAGAGTTTAGTGCATCCTACTGGTAATATGACCTTTCGCAAGGAACCAATCTCCCTTACAATGAAGAGAGCTATGAGTGATGGCTGCTGCCTTAGAAAAACAGAGAGATAAATAGTTACTATTTGCATATTTGATGTCAATATTTTTAATGAAAAGCCATGCGCTTCTTATGCAATAATTGAATATGTAGTAAAAGGTTCAGCTATTTAGATTACTGTTTAGAAAATGAATTGCTTACTTATTTTAGCTTGGATTAATAGTTTGAATTTATCCAGATCTGGAGATCTGCCTTCAGACTACATGATTTCTCTGTTTTGCCCCAGGATTGATTCAGTGACCTTGAATAATCTTTCAGCTACCTAAGTGTGTAATCCCATTTTCCATAAGAGTGCAGTCATGTTAAATAGAAATGGGATTTTATGGTCTTGCAGTAAGTTATTTAACCTAAATTTAAAGATTGTTCCATATAGTCTGAGTGTTTTTATTTCCTGTGGACGTGACTATTTCTGCTGATGATTTGAGAGAGCCTCCTCAGCTAGCCACAGAGGACAAATACATGGATAAGTATGCTTAGAGGTCACATCTTTGTTGAAAAAATGGAACCATCATAGAGGCTTTGTGAAGAACTAGACATCACTGTTAGGCCAGGGAAAATGTGTCTTCGCATCAGAGAAATGAAATTATTTGGTTCTGAGTAAGAGACAAAGTCACATAATTTCTATACAAGGTTCTGCATTTCTTCATCCAGTTAAATGGCAGCTAGGTTGGACCACATCATCAGAAAAGTATGTGTATAACACTTCCTGTTACTGAGGATTATGCTCCGGTATGGTTAGGTACAGCTATGGGATTTTTCTGCTTAGTTAAAAATGCTTTAATATATCTGCAGCAAACTGTGTGTTCTCCCCTACAAACTGGAGTTTTGCTTGTTGTCTGTGCAAATTGTTGATATTGGTATTAATGTGTAAGAAATGAGAGTTGACTTGTAGATATGATGATACTTATTTAACATGAAAATGAATCTGTGGCAGAATGTTGATGTATACTGTTCTACAGAGTTGGAGAGCAATATTGCTTAAAAATCTCTCCAAGAAGTGCAGGATGGTAAAGCAATTTACTGTGCCATTACTGTTCTTCAGAGTGCACAGGACAGATTGTGCAATGTGTTTTATTATAGGGGATTTCACATAGTCCAAAGTCATTATCTCCTACAACAATTTTTCATGGTATATGCTAATGAAGTAATAAAACGTAAAGACCTTTTATCTAAAATAACACTTAGCTGCTGCTTTGTTCTACTTTTATGTAGCATCTGGGTTCTTCTGTGCAATTTTTGATCTGTTTAGGGGAGTTTATTAGATTTAATTCAATGGAAGCAGGAAGCTCCTTTTGAAAGAGAATGGCTTAATATCACATCAAGCACAATAAATGCAAAATATCACCATGATACTTGATAATGAATTACAGTCTTATAGACAAGGTTCAGTACAAAATATTGCTGTGGCAGTAATCTGCTTTGCTCATCTATTTGCTGTAAATCTAGTATTGCCTATAATGAGTGTTCATTTGCATTAAAAAATACATGATTCCTTTAGTATATCTGAAAGAGAAAATTCTATGATTATGAACATTAGGGAAACGTTGTCTTAATCATAATGAAAACTCTTCAGTAAAGCAAACAGTATTTTTTCCTCAAGCTATCTAGCAGGGCATACCTCATTTGTTAGTATTAAAAATGCTATTGTTACCTGTACAGATTTGTGCTGGTGCTGGTACTGAGCAAAGGTCTTTTGTGAAGAGGTCATCTGCACTTTCTCAAATTGTTTCCTCACTGCTGCCAGGCCACCAGGCACAGTACAGAACTTGGTTTTCTCTGAAGTCTAGAGTGATAAAATAAGGCCAGTTGTTTTCCATTTGCACTAAGAATGTACTTCTATGAGTTGTTTTTTTAAAAAGTAGTTAATAACAGTATGCTATGATGCTTATAGATTTCAAATGGAAAATTTGGAAACACTTGGTTATGTCTGTAGCCTGTTATAGGCAACTGCCACTGGCATAATCTGTAAACCCTACTTATTTTAACAGTATGCATGAATTAACATTAGCATTCATAACAGATACAGTAATAAGACAGTTATTTTTCAGGTGTTGTCATCAAAATACAAAACATATATGTACTGTTAGCATTAACTGTTGAATCTCATTGGCCCATTTTAGGACTTTTACTTGTCAACCAAAAATTAGGACCTGCACATTATGAAGTTCTTTTGGAATTTTACAATCTAGAATTTATTTAACACTAGCTGCTAAATGCTGCTATGTGAAATGAATCCTGCCGGTGTAGCTGAATATTCATCTCTGCTTGAACTAGTATCTGAGGACTCAGTGGTTTCCTCTGTAGTTTTAGGGATCAGCCGAGTATTTTCAGCCATGTAATACTCTGTCTTTGCAGGAATGACTCAGACAATCCTAAGTACTGTTTCTGGCAAGTTCATAGACAACTGCACAGGAGCCATACATTGTGATTTTGAGAACTAAAGGTCAATGTATATTTGAAAAATGTGTGTGTTTGGCCTGAATCTTTAGCACCAAAGGGAGTACGTCCCAACTGCTTGATGGTCAGTAGCAATCACTTTCTGGAACAATCCTTCTCTGCTGTTCCCTCTTCTACTTGTCTATTTTGAGTTCTGTTGCATTCAGAGTTGCCACCTGGCCCTCTCTGTATTTTTTCAGTAGGCATTGTTGAAAAACATGCAGAGAGCTTCAAGCAGGCCTTTGTGAGATGATCTTTCTTCACTAACAACTGTGCCAAAGGTCACGAGGGTGCCCCTACCCTCAGGCTTCCTGTTATAGTTCTGTCCTTTATGTGTTACCTCTTCAATGGTACTAAAATGAAGCTTTCAGCATTTCAGCTCATTAATCAGTATGCAGAAAATAAACCACCCTATAATTAGAAACAGCTTTGTAATGAAGGTTACTAAGTAAACTTAAAGTTCAGTGCTTACACCTGATGAGTAAGTAAGCACATCATTAAAAACAGTTCGGTTTTTTTTTTCCCTGTGATGAAGGTGGCACAAGTCTGTATGTACATGGATGTGTGAATGTGAAAAGTAATTATTTTAGTGAATGAACATTTCAGGCACACCTTGCCAGCCATTTGGAGATACTTAAAGGGGTTAAATGCAGTCCTTTAAGGATACATATTAATTGCCTTTAATGGAACCGGATATACAGTTCCTTTTTCAGGCAACCATCCAATTCAGCAAGAAATTGCAAGGAGTTCCAGAGTGTAAATGAAGTAGTTCCTGTGTGTTCAACACAGTTCGGTTGGGTCAGGCTTTATGCAGTTCTTTTCTCTTTGAGAGAGAGTACTAACTTCAGCAATGTTTCCAATTACAGGAGTAGGGAATTGGAACCATCTCAGCCAGGTGAACTGCAGGAATCCACTCCAAATACACACAGGCAATTATGAAATAAGGAAGCCAGCAGGCAGCAGTTTGGTGGTTGGAAAACACCCAGAGTTTGGTGAGTGTGGCTGGTGGCTGTTTCCACAATGTGACTTCTGGGCTATCCAAGCACCCAGAAGGTCCCTTCAGCTGCTGCAGACCACTTCTCCCAAGACCAAAGTGCAGGTAAGACTGGGAATCCTTCTACAGCTTTTCTTGCATATGGACAAAGATGGTATTGCCAGATATGCTCTCCGACTTACAGAAATTACTCTGGCCTAGTTTACAGTAAGAAAAATGTGTTCTTCCCATGTGCTAAAAGTTTAGCGTAAAGGAAGACCATTGTCATTGTAACATTGTAGCAAGCCAGCATAATGCCTCCATTTCCTGATACAAGGGAGTTGAGCTACAACTTCTAGGTAGGATTTTAAGACATGGTAAAAATATACTTTTTACCCCTTAGTATTTCTGCAGAACTGAGGCAGATTTTCCTAATTTTCCTGGCTAAGATCTGAAGAGCTGATTTTCAGATATTGCTGACTGATAATTAAACTTGTGGTGAAGTGGTCTTGCTCTGTTTTAATAGATTATAAATTCTGTTAGCCAAATACCTTATGAGCTACTTGGTATTAATATTAAACTTTGCTGTAAAATACTTAATCCCTATTGATAGACATGGAGAGGGATGAGTAAAATAAAATTAAAATTTTTTTCTAAGTATTTTTTATATAATGCCCATTTAAAAATAATTTTATTATAAAACAATACTTTTTCATACACCTTGTCTCATAGATCTGCTACTTTAAAATGCAGCAATTTTGAATTCTTTAGTTTAAACAGCAAGAGGTCTAAACCTAATGTGCTTTTGAATATGATTTTATTTAGTAATATTTTTAGTAATGCAAAAACTGCTGTCATTATGAGCTGAAAGAATAACTGTGTTGCTAATCTGATTCAAGCCTATGGTCCTAATAAATGCATTTCATGCAACAGTGGAATGAAGAACAGTCCTTCTAATGAATTAAAGGGAATTGTCCAAATGATCACAGGTATATAGCATGAAAAAATCTCTTCATTAGAGACAGAGACTGATGCATCACTACGTTTGCTAGGTAGATTTGCTAATTTAGGTTTCAAATTTTGATCCTCATTGCGGTCCATCAGTTAGCTTGTATAAATACACAATGTAGGATATGCCACTGTGCAAAGCAAACACAGAGCTAAGAAGATAAGGAACTACTGATATCTTACATGAGCGAAGGTGTTGCTACTCTCTCTCTCGGACACAGCAGCCTTGTACTTAGCCATTCTTTCTTTCAAGGAGACAGTCTCCTGGAAATCCAATGGTGTGTTATCAGCCCTGGGAGTGCTCTCCTTAGGTAGTCCTCTTACAGGTTTGCGAGAACGCACTGTAAGTTCAAACAGACATTGTATTTTCTGAGAAGGAAACAGGTACCTTTTTTCCAAATCTTGAGAGAAAAACAGTAGTAGAAAGGAGCAGCATTATCAACTTTTTAGCAACTGTATCTTATTTTCAATTTAGAATTTATTGAGTACAGAAAAATTTAATTCAATGAAGTTTTAGTAATTGGAGGAAATTCCTTGGGGAAATAACAAAAAGCTTTTTTAAAAAAATTTTAACAGCAAGCATACTATATTTTTCTTGATAGTGTTACATTTGCATTATTTTGTACTGTAAAAAGTCATTGTAAGTACTACAAATAACCTGTTATAATTAGATATGTTATGTTCTAATTAGCTTTATACATTATAGTATTCACTTGTTTAACAGAGTCCGTTCTAAGTTGATTGTAGATTTCGGTTGTTTACTGATACTGCATTAGAGGATGTTTTAGTTGGTTTAGTACTACTAAAACCTTACTGAAAATTATCTAAATTATCTAAATTACTAACTACATTTTAACCTTATTTCAAAGTGTGAAGGTTGTAGACTTATCTATAAGCATCTGCAGTTCAGCCAGCATGAATGTGGAGACAACAGTTCAGAGTTCTCCTGAAAGAGCAGCACTGAGTTACTAGCACTAGGAAGTTTTTTGTTGCTGCTTTCTACATTCATATGACTGTATTAGAAGAACTCCATATACCCAGAAAAGTGCCTTAAATTTAGTGTGAAGATATTTTTCATTCTTGTTTCAGACAAAGGGGAAAAAAAGTATGTTGTGAGCATCTCTCTTGTCTGTGATCAGAGGCAGAAGAGATTTCATGTAATCCACAGGCTACAAGTTCCTCTTGTCCTGCCAAGGTTTTTCTACAGTTGAATGACACTGGATTTCTGTAACCAGGTCACTCCCTTCCTTTTTGGGAGGGGGGGGAATTTTAAGACTTAAAGAAGATGTATTTTTAGTAAAGCCATGAAAATCTAATTTTTTAATGCTTGTGTTGCAGATATCAGAGCACCCTGATCTTGCCTAAATCCATCTATATTTCTCTTTGTCCTTGTATAATAGGACAAAAAATAAATTTGTTGCAACCTGCATTGCTTTTTTTTTTAAACAATTGTATTTTCTGAAATTACAGAAACAAGCTGTATCTGAAACAAATTATCTCACCCT